GGGGTTAGGGTTACATCTTCATGATATTTAGAAAAAAAATGGATAACCCTTTGAGGACCAGATATTTGTCTCCAAATGGGAGTCCCCAAATTGCAACCCCTGGTCCCCCTCCCCCCTCACACTTACAGTAAACACTCATGATAATACCTTAAAGCAAATGCAAATCCCCTTTCACATTTTTTCCCCCACTAGCAGTCAGTTGAAAACACTTTTCTGTATTTTTCAGCTTTCACTTTATCTTAAAATCCCTCAGGAAACTTAACAAAGTTGTCCCAGTTTTCTTTAAGATTGTGCTGTCAATCAGGCCCACGATGGTTGTGTCATGAATGGACGGGTGGATAGAATATAAGGAGAAGATAAGAAGTTGGTTTGCTTGTCATCAGAGTACAGATGACAGTCACTCCTCTGTTCCAGGGATTTACTTCCCAATCATTTGCTAATATTTACTGTTACCTTTCACCCTTGGGCTGAAAATGGAGCATCCAATCATTTTAATGTTTAACATAAAAAAAAATTATTTGGAAGGTAATTGTGGCTCAGATTCCTCACAGTTCTTGCTTAATGGAAACTTAAGTGTTTAGTTTGAAACTTGAAGATGGCTTATATCTTGAAAGTTGCTTTGTTTTGTAGGGGACAGTCAAAAGTAGCACACACTGGAGCCAGTGTAGCTAATTAATGATGAATCAGTTAACTGTGGGATGTTATATGTGTAACTGTATACAGGGTAACATGTTTTAGCCAAGTGGCTTTAGGAATGGCAATATCAGTCTGATATTTGTGCAGTCAGTCCACCACTTTTGTCCAGACTGAAATATGTCAACAACTATTGGATGGATTGCTATGAAAGTTTGTCCAGACATCCGTGGTCCCCAGAGGATGGGACATGGTGGCTTTGGTGGCTCAGCTGTTCTCTGTGTTCTGTGCTAATTAGCAGATGGTAACTGACAACATGCTAAACTAAGATGGGCATGGTAAACATTGCACCTGCTTTGCATCAGCGTGTTAGCATTTAGTTCAGAGCACTGCTAGCATGGCTGTAGTTGTATTGTTGAAGAGCAGGCATCCTCAGGTAGTGTAATAAAAATGTAAAAGTAATAAAGGAAGCGCTGTCTTTCAGCTTGATTACAATTTATCTGAGCAGAACCTGTGTTATCAGTTCTGGCAGTCAAGGGAAATTGGAAATTTAGTCTGTACAGTTTGGAGTTTGAAGCTTTGAAAAGAGACCAAATTGAGAAGTGTTCATTGGAGTGATATTGTGAAGGAGCTGGCAAGCATCCCCCTCACTAAGGTGAAAAACAATACACATTGGCTAATACAGGAAGTTCATTTTTGTTATGTTGTGTTTTTATTTTGGGAACCCCTACTAACCAGACTCAGCAGGTGTCAATTACCTTTTCAGGCTGTACCAAGTGGGCAGGAAAGAGAGAGGGGAGTGGGTAGAGGGTTTGGCTTTTGTTGGGTATTTCTTTAGTTTATTATGTATTTTATTTCATCTGTGTTAGGCCAAAAGTCAGTGTATGTAAATATCAATATGGTTAAATTGTAAATAGGTATTCTAAATGTATGGTGGTAGTGTTTAGGGTCCCTTCACTACGTTATGTTTTGGTAGAGACTAGGGGTAGTTATGCCAGGTGGGAAAGCAGGGTAGGGTGTCAGAGAAGGGGGGTCAGGTTGAATGTCACCGTTGCTGCTGCTGCTATCCTCTGCGCCCTGCTGCACCAGCCAGACTGCTTTTGTTGTCCAGCCATTCTGCTACATATATGTAAGAGCTGTTGGACTTTTTTGTTTTGTGTAATTTGCCTATGGTCGCCAGTAAACCAAACTCAGAGCTCTGAAATCAATCCTTGTGTGACTGATTTTGTTCTCCATCACGCTTGCACCTCAATCCTGCTGGCCTTCATCCTGGTTGTAAGGGTTCACCACCATCCAAACATTACAGATGCTTTTTGCACTGATTGACTGCAACAAGGTTTTTGGTGTTACCATCAGTTGATAATATAAAGGTGAAACGTGAAAGCTTTCATTAGCCATGCAAACTGAATCACTGTAACAACTATTGATTGAAACAAGCATTTAGTCATCAAACACTGCAGATCATTATTTTCAGCATCACTCTGAAATGTGAAATCCATCTTTATCCTGTGATTTCACTTCTTTTTCTCAGGGGCCCTCAACCCCTACCGGCTTTATTTTGGGAAGTTTCCATTTGCTTCTGTGACCTGACATCATTAGTGTTGTTTGTCAGATGCAAAGCTTTAATTAAAGCGCAGCTATCAGGGACAATAATTAAACACAAGACAGTCTGGTTTCGAGAAGAAAGGGGGGGTTGGGGGGGGGCTCTACGGCTGTCTCTTCCTCTGGCTTTTTGTCAAAACAAAACCAATGGCAAGAATGCGATAAAAGCATCGAGGAGGGGATGTGATAGCACACAAAAGGTGTCAGGTTGTGTTTTGGCAATGAAGTATATTCATTTGTGTCTCTAGTTGAAAGGCAGCAGAGATAAGCAGGCTTAAAACAATTCAGGCAGAAGGAAGGAGGGGTCAGGAATGAGTGGAAAGAAGGAGAGAGACACATAAAAAGAAATAAAGATACAAAGATGGAGAGAGAGGCAGGAGACTGACCCAGATGATAGTGTGGTCAGGATCATTACACGAATATAAATAAAAAAAGTACCTCGCTGATCTTGGTTGTTGTGACTGGACTTGGCAGTAAACAAATACCTTTCAAGTGAGTCTTGACTGACTAGTCTTTCATGTTTGCCGAGCTCAGTAAAAACCATGTCAGGCTAGCAGTCATGTTGGATCAGATATGCTGTAAATATGAGTTTCCCGTCGGGGTAAAAACAGCCTTACAGTAATCACAAACACGACACAGTCATTTTTTTTCCTGCCCCCTCCCCCCCGAAATCTTCTTAAATTGCAGAAAGTGTGCCAGAGACTTTTGTCGGTACACTCCCTCAAAGCTTGTAGTGGAAACAAGGAGGTGGAGGATTGTATCGCTACGTTGTGACACTAGACTTGGAGCTGTCTTCAAAGAGTGTGAAGAGAAGGAATTCAGAGACAGGATCAAAGGAGGTGGATGATATCCGTGTCAGTGCCAGCGTGGCCGTTATGATCAATGTCCAAATCGTTGTTTGATGAAGAATTCCATTTGCCTGCCTCTTTTCATCACAGCGTGCCACGAGCTAATGCACGCATTCACACACGTGTGCAGGAGTTAAATCAGTGAAATCAGTCCGCGTCAAAAGCTGAATACATAACAAATGATTAATAAATGAGTTTCATAATTAGACAGGTGAAAACTCGAGCTCTTGTTCCACTGTGCTAAAGCTGCAAATTGCTCTTCTGTGGAACATTTTTTATTTTATTTTACACACACATGAAGATGACGACGGTGCTGTGGGTCAAAGGCAAATTGAAAGCCCGGGATGGAGGAATTGAATTTGTAATTGAATTGTCAATATCAATTTCATGGAAAAATTTGAAGAGAGGACTGAGAGCTGCTCGGGGTGTGGCATCACAGAAATGAGAAGTGACTAGAGGCCAAAAAGAGGTGCAGGGTGGGACGGAGGAGGAGATGAAGAGGAGGGGGAGGAGGAAGACAGGCTATTAGAGATGGGACAGTTTAACAGAAGCATCTAAAGTTGGCTTCCATTATTCCAGAGCAGATTGGGTTGCACCATGTCATTGCCTCATTCCTTGCAGCAGGTTATATTCTCGGCGTAGACCTGGCCTAAAAAAAAAAAGTACTGAGGGGAAATTTATTTGGAGGATACTTAAGAAGAGTCTATTACTCAGTTGTTCTTATTATCAATTCCCTGTCATTCATGTCGTGGCGAGATAACTTTTCCCTGGGAGGGAATCAAAAACTTTGGAAACAAATTAAAAGAGTCGGAGCTGTGGTGATGAGATACATAATATTTTACGCTGGATTAGAGTTTAATCCACGGTTAATCCCCTGAGAAAGGTAAATAGCTAAATGTCAGCTAGTATCCTGTTAAAACATGCAAATTACAACAGCCCTCCTCTGTTTCCCCACTTAGCCAATCTCCCCTGTTTTCACCCCTATATATCTGCAGCTATTAAATTTTTTATTGTTTCATTATGTACCTCAAAGTTGAAATAATAGAAGTTGCAGCTGCAAGCTGGCGAACCTTGTAAACAGTGACAAAAAACACCAAAGAAAAGCAAGCGTTGCTTTCATAGTCTCTGCAATTTCCATTTTTATTGGTGCATCATATGCTAATGTCGGAACAGAAGAGCTGCAATTTATTCTCATAGCAGGCCGTTATTTTCATGAACATGAATAATTACAGAACATAAAAAGCCTGGTCTCATTTGAAAAGTCAAAATATATTTCTCTGGGCTTTATTAAGACTTAATGAAATAATCATGTCAGTTAACAGATTTATTACTGTGGTGCATTACCTTGAAGGGATTGGGTAGCATGGGTATTAGATTCATATACCTTTTTTTTTTTTTTTACACAGTGCTTTTAGAATTGAGAACTAAACTCAATTAATTCAAAACCATCTGGGGATATGTGAACTGTAGTACAATTTTCTGCCACCTCTTAATCATTTTGTCATTATCACTATTAATGTTAATATTCTCCCCCCTCCCTCTCGCTCTTTCTCTCTCACTCTCTCTCTGTTATATATAGGCCTTCTGACTGAGAGGGAGTGCCTCCTCATCTGTGTTGTCAAGACGTACGGTTGTCGGAGGCCATGAGTAGCTGCTGGGGTGACAGTCTCCAAAACCCGTTGATGTGGAACACCTAAAATGGGGACAGGACTTTCTGCCATGCTGCAAGCTCAGCTCTAATCACCGTGAAGACGCCCTTCCGCTCACCTTTCTCTCTACCTACTTCGATTTGGCCTGCTTGCGCCTGACCTGCAGCCCTCTCTGATTTGAAACCGCTACTCGCCGCCTTCCTCCCTGCAACTCCTTTCTTTTCCGTCTTTTCTACTGAGGCAACCTCAAACACTCCTTATCCAAACTATGGCCAGCAGACTCCGTTTGTCCTCCCTGCCTCCCTCCCTGTGTCTGTCCCTCCTGCTTCCTGCACTGTTGCTCCTCCGCCTGCCTGGCGAGGTGAAAGGGGACTGCTGGCTGATAGAGGGGGATAAAGGCTACGTTTGGCTGGCTATCTGCAGTCAGAACCAGCCTCCATACGAGACCATCCCCCAGCACATCAACAGCACGGTCAGTATGAACCTATCTATCTGTAGGCCTTTTACACCACCGCCTCTGTAAAACCGGATGCCTCCATGCACTTTCAGCTATGATGGTGTCGGCTAAATTAATCATGACAGTGACTACTGCAAAGCTACAAGTGAATCTAATCTTCTCTCCACTCAGTGTAATGCTTGTGGTTTCTTGTGATTATATTTTGGTTGGATTGATAATGTAATTTAATAATTTTTTGATAGTAAAAATGCACATTGCATATTCTTATTCAAAAGTTACATTTATGTGTCCAATGGCGGTGGCAATACTAGTAGTAATGGCTAAATTGCTACGTGGCTGTGATGATGTTAGTGAGAAAGAAGAGACCAAAACAAACAGTCAGTTTGTGTAATTGCTGGCTACGTACCTCTTATTGGCTGACAGCCAAATGTGTGTATAAATAGAGCTGTAGCCCTTTACCACTTAAATGAGTCATTGTGACACCACTACACTCAAAGAAACATCTCACTAGAGCAAGAGCTGCAACATATTCTAAATCTAAATCCCATACATCTCCAACATGCTCAGACAACTTTAATCAGCTAATGTTTTGTGCTAATGCTAATCATTTATGTGCCGGCTCAATGTTGTCTACATTTTAAACTATTACTTCCAAGTATTTCAATTAGTGTAACCATCTGCAATTTGCAGCATAAATGATGTAAAACTGGAAAACTTTAGATAATTTATTTAAGCACCCAACGGTAATGTTAACACGCAACTGCATTCCACTCGTAGCATCAACATCTACCTCTGCTTGATATCTCAGGAGGGATGCGTAGCTGCTTGCAAGCAGGGCTGTGATTAACTATACACAAATTTTGATCAGATGTATAATTGGGGAAAGTGCTCATTAGGTAGCAAACTTGGACATGTAGAGGTGCAATATGCTCTTGGCAGCTAATTTATTTTTTGGCGAGGAGTGTCCTCCTCTATGGCTGCCAGAAGGTGCAATACATCACCTGAAAGTCATCCACTCTCTTGTCTCCCTTAGGTTCATGACCTGAGGCTGAATGAGAACAAACTGAAGGCTGTGCTCTTTATCTCCATGTATCGCTTCACAAACCTCACTGACCTCAATCTAACCAAGAATGAGATCAGCTACATCGAGGACGGGGCCTTTGCTGGACAGGCTAACCTACAGGTCTGCAAGGACACAACTCTGTTTTTATGTTTTTGTTTATCTCTTATATGAAGTTGTTGTTCCTCCATTTACATTTCCTTAGTTGTATATAAGGTAAAAGGTGAGGATTTCAACAAAAGTGTTCCCTCTACAGCCATCTTTTTAAATTGTTCTCATACGTTCATACAAATGTGTTTGAATAATTTGTGTTGTGTTTATGCTATAAATTTTAATTTTCTATTTAGTATACCTTCCTAAATGGGGGTGGTCATCCATCAACCAAAAACTCCATGCTTTTATTGCTGTCCTGCAGTAAGCGTATTGTCCCAACTCAGTGACGAGGCATTCGGTTGAGCGATGGTGGAAATATGATCACCCACTCAGTCAGTCAGTCAGTCAGTCAGTCAGTCAGGGACATTCCAGATTACAGGGCTGGCCGAACTGTTGTGGTCCAGCCAAAAACATCACTGAATCACTGACGGCCTTGTTGTATCATGTTTTATTAAAAAGTTCAAAGGGCTACTCTCTCTATCTGTCTCAGGTTCTCCAGCTGGGCTACAACAAGCTGACCAACCTGACTGAGGGCATGTTAAGAGGCCTGGGTCGAATGCAGTGCCTCTTCTTGCAACACAATCTCATTGAGGTCATTGCCACCAACGCCTTCTGGGAGTGCCCCAGCCTCAGCAGCCTGGACTTATCTTCCAATAAATTGGCACGTCTCGACCCGTCTACCTTCACGGTCCTCAACAGGCTGATGGTATGTGAACTAGCAGGAAATCCGTTCCACTGTGGCTGTGAACTCTACAGCTTTCTCTCCTGGCTGGAAGCATTTAACAATGTCACCCACACCTATGACCGCCTCCAGTGCGAAACCCCTGCGGAAATGAACGGTTATCCACTCCTGAGCCCGCTGCCCGGACACGGACGAAATGCCCTCTACAAACTTGTATCCAAGTGTCACGAAGGTGCGATAGGGATGACCTCCCAGATACCAGATCAAGATCAAGGCTCAGGGATGGGTTTTGACAACCCAGACCAAGGTCTTTACCACCAGCCAACCATATCGTCCACTGCTGACCCCACCTATAACCATCAGATTTCTATGAAGCTTCAAACTGTCTCCCTCTACACCGCTTCGCTAATGGTGCAAATCCCACGACCATACAGTAAGATGTACATACTTTCCCAGTACAATCTCACTTTTGTTGCAGACATTATGCCCCTGAAAAACAAGAAGGAGATCATCCCTTTGGACAAGCTGAAACCACACACCAACTACACCTTTTGTGTGGCATCTATGAGCAAATCTCAACGCTACAACCACACCTGTCTGTCCTTTACCACACGAGCCATGGGGCCAGAGGACCAGCGAACGAATCAATCCACAACTACCCACTACATCATGACTATCCTGGGATGTCTGTTTGGCATGGTCATTGTGCTTGGATTCGTCTATTACTGTCTCAGACGGCGACGTATCCAGGAGGAGAAGGAGAAAGCTATAAGCGTGAAGAAAACTATTTTGGAGATGAGGTACTAGACAAGTTTTTTAAGTTAGGTTATAGTTTAGTTTGCTAATAAAAGTCTTAAGGACCACATTCCAAACCTTATTCATGGCAATGAATTATTGAATAGCCATTACCTAGATACTGACTACAGCTGTTGTAGCCACAACAGAAATGACAACCATTATGTGTGTCCCTTGGGTGTAATTGAATTCTTTGAAATAATTCGTGCTATGGTTTGGCTTCACTGCTTTGATTTGCTTTGAATTCTGGAAAAGCCTCAGTTTTACTTACTACAAACAACAGAATAATTTTTCCCACCATACCCTTTATTGAGGTTTTGCACGATTATATTTTTCAGAATTTCTTTGAGCTTTAATTAAAACAGCAAGGATTCCGTCATACCACAGCATCACTGAGAGGACATATTAAATCTAATTAACTTTGATGTCCACAATATGACAACAGATAATAAAATGAAATGCTTATTCTAAAGTAAATGTGTCATTCCCCAGGTATGGCCCAGAGGCAGCTGCGGCAGTGACCAATGACCCAGGTGCCATGCAGCGTCTCCAGGAGCAGGCACACCACCCGCACCATCATTCAGGAGGGTCAGGAGGCAAGCTGCCCCAGTCTGCCTCATCTAGCACAGGCATGCTCCACGGCTCAGCCAACACCAGTTCTTCCCGTCTCTCCACCTTGCCGCAGGTAGAAAAAATGGCCACTGCCTTCTCTGAGGCAATGGGCAGCAAGGGCAACTATATGGATGTGAGGACGGCGGGAGTGACAGGGGAAGGCAGGGAGGGAGGGGTGGCAGCTGGAGGAGTAGGCGTAGGAGGGGAAGTAGTTGTGGATATGCGAGGTGGGGCTGAGAATGGGACGGAGGCTGGGGAGGATTCGGATGACGATGGCCGTGGCTCAGCATCAGAGATCTCCACCATCGCCAAGGAGGTGGACAAGGTGAACCAGATCATCAACAACTGCATTGATGCCCTGAAGCTGGATGCCTCTGCTAATGTTGTGACCACAGCTGACAATGCCAACTCTGTGTCCTCCTCCCAGCCTCCAGCTTGCATCACGTCCCTTCCCCGCAACCTCCTGCCCCTCTCTCCAGGCCACCCCGGAGATCAGATCATGGCCTCCTCTCCAAAGGTGCATCCAAAGTCTCACCCCCAGCCTCACCCTCAGCCTCATCCTCAGCCTCATCCTCAGCCACATCCTCAACAACATCCTCAGCCACATCCTCAGTTGCATCAGCCGCCTCATCCACCCTCTATGGCCCCAGTGCCCCTGGTCATGCCCCTGTCTGAGCGGCCGGGTATCAGCGGTGGGGGGTTCCTCTCCCCTCCTTACCGTGACCCACCCCCAGCCAATGCAGTGCGGCCCCTTCAGAGGCAGTTGAGCGCTGACACTGCTGTGGTGAAGAACCGTTGTGGGGCCCCTCCTGTGGGATCTGTCAAGAGCACCAGGCTGTTCAGTGTGGATATCCCTGAGCAGCGTAGTGATCCTCCCAAGTACCCAACAGAAAAGAGCAGCCCTGTGGGTTGTGCTGGAGGGGGTGGAAGTGGAGGAGGTGGTGGAATAGGGGGCTGCAATGGGAATGGAATGGGAAACATAAATGGTGGCGGGGTGAGCTTGAATGGGAGTGGGATGGGATGTAATAATGGGAGTGGAGGTGGGGTGGTTGGTCCTGGACAGCAACAGCACCACTTGGAGGTTCAGCCAGACTACCATAGCTCTGAGCACCGCCACTCCTTTCCTGCACTCTACTATGAGGGCGGCAACGAATCCCCCTCACCAGCCCAAAAGGCCTCATTCCTCAAGCCACTGGGGCGCACTAAGAGGGATGCCACAGCCGCCTACTCCCAGCTCTCACCTTCTCGTCACCACAACTACAACTCTGGCTACTCCTCCAGTCCAGAGTATTCATCTGAGAGCACACTGCGGATCTGGGAGCGATTCCGGCCTTACAAGAAAAGCCCCAGAGAGGAAGCATCCTATATAGCGGCAGGACATGCCCTGCGTAAGAAGGTGCAGTTTGCCAAGGACGAGGACCTTCACGACATTTTGGACTACTGGAAGGGAGTTTCTGCCCAGCAGAAGCTGTGAGATGAAGAAGCAAAGTCAGATTCCATAAGGGAGATTGTAAAGTTGGATGCCAACAGCAGACTAACGAAGGGAATAGATGTTAATGTAGCAAGAGGATGACATGTCCGATGACATGGATCACATGGATCTGCAGGATCCAGAGTTAAAGAGGTTTTCTCTCTGGGTGATTTTTCTGGAATTGGTTCTCTGATAATTCATTGACATTTTAAGAGGTTGTTTCTGATGTTGGCTGTTTTCACCACAATACAGAGTGATAATTAACAAGAATCAAGCTGTTCACCAGACTGCCTCATACTGGGCACTTTGGTCCTCACAGGCTTCTATAGACCCGCTGAATCCCCACTAATGAGCAAAGCAAAGGTGGTGATAAGCAAGTGTCTTCTACCTCATTACTGGCACACTGTAGCTCAGCTATCTCACCAGAAGCAGCCCCATTCATGACTTAAGCCCCGTCCCTCTTTTCTCTAATCCCATCAAACCACCATTCACAAAACAATCATTCCACGGCACAGCCAACACCTGCTCTCCTATAGAAGCATCATTTAGGGAGATAATGAGGGAGCAGGATGAGGAATTAGGTGCGTTTGTTTTAGAATAGCCTGAATCTCCCTCTTTGGGGAAGACATTAAGTGATACTTATCAGGCTAATTGTTCTTCCTGGCAATTAGCCAGCATAAGAGTAGGTCGGGGGAGGCTGTCTGTTGAGCATGCTTATCGATTCGAAACACCTAACTACATATGTTCAATCGTGTGTGGGCATGTGGGAGAGTAGGGCTGGGGTTGGGGCTGAGTCGTCCATTACTCTCAGTCTGCTCTATGGTAGCAAAGTGAATAGCTTAGTGGAGATGCTTTGCATATAGATAACAACCCAGTTGGGGAGTTGTGTCCGTATATATGTGTATGCATACATTAATGTGTGTGTTTTGCCCAGCCTGTCTATCTCGATAGCATGAAGTAAACCTTCTCAAGACCAGCAGACATTTTTTTGTCTGCTACAGCCCATTTCTCATTTAAAGGTGTAGCATATTTCTTGTGATAAGGGAAGCTTATGTAGTATAAATTTACATTTCAATAGTGTGAGTCATGCAGAAATTACTTTAGGGTAGGTTATGCAGGTTAGCAAGACAGGTGTTGGCTCCTATATTAAAGAACCTCAGTAATCACATTTAGTAATAAAAGCAGTTTGAGTGCAGGTTAGAGGTTTACAGTGGCTGCATCTCATTTTTGAACATGCCAGTGTTGAGGCGACAAGATAGAGTTCAGAGTATTTTCAGGTGGAGATGGATCAGCTCAAGGCAAGGCGGCGTAAACTTAAAATATGTCAAATCCTCCCCGCACTACACAGTGAGATAAAACGGATGGCAAGAGGAAGTGAAGGCCTGAGGGATATACTCTGCCTCAGTCTGGATGACTCTCCACTCAGTATATATATGACCCTGCTCTGCTCTGAGCGGGAGCTTGCTATGGACCAAAGTGCCCTTGGGAGGTATGATTCCACAAGTTTCTTTTTTCTGTTCTGTTCCAAAGTTGTTAATGGAGCATGAGGTAGTTCCAACGAGCAAGAAAGTAATTCACTTTTTGTTTATTTTTATTCAGAATTGGGTTTGAATTTCTGGGTGTTATATAATGAAGTCTGTTGAAACAAATAGGAGCAAGGCTTGGTACATACATGAAACACATGCTGATAATTGTAACTGTGCAAATCTTCATGCTCCATATAAATTATCTTAATGCTCTCCTCCTGCATCAGCATCCATGCTGTCGAAATATTAATTTCACCATCGTCTTTATTTCTTTTTCTGCCCATTCTTTCTCGCCTCACCACTGACACCCTGACCTCTCTTTCTCTGCTGTGATACATCTCAATTGAAACGCTATAAATTCCCTTTTAAAATGTCTAATTAATTCATTCTCCTCCGTTTTTTTTACTCTGCCCGCCACCTCTGTCCAACTTAATGGGGTAAATTAATGAGTAATTTGCGGAGGTTGATGTCGTACCATCATCGGAGGTCAGAAGAGTGTGCTGATATTATTAACTCTGCCAGACTGGGAACCTGATTGAAATTAATGGTGGCTGCCTTCGTCTGCCTATCTTTCTTTCTTTCTTTTTTTTTGTCCCTGCCTCCCTCATCACCGTGTCCTCAAACAAACAGTCTGGATATACTATGGTCAGATTTATGCTTCACTATGACTGTGCAGGTTATGAGCAGGCCAAGGTGAGCCAGTCTGGGATCTAACCACCTCCTGGGTGTTATTCTTCCTCTTTTTTTGAGTCTGATCGGTCGGGAAGGACCAGTCTGTCAGGCCCGGAAGTTATGCATTCCTATTAGATTTTCCACTGGTTTAACCCTGATGTCATCGTTTTGACAGGGCTTGAATTCACTCGCTATTTGAAGTGCGAGTTTGATGGGGAAAGTGAGAGCGGAGTGTGGCGAATACTCTTTCACCTATAATGACCTCTTGTCTACAGACTCAGCTCTATACAAAAGGTCAGCTACAAAGAGATAAACCTTTTGTGAAATGAAATAATGAGATTTACGTTAATACGCGTAAACTGCATGCCTTATTAGATTTAAACTGCACACTCTATTTCTGCAGAAAAAAAGTAGTTCCAACAAACACCGTTCGCAGCAACGACTGTCACACTTTAGAACCCGGATAAATCTTTAATTGCAATATGTCAGTGCTGTGAGAAAACCAAACAAAATTCTCCTAACTTCCACTGTATTGGTGTGGGGGCAGAACTCTCAGACAGACATCTGAAAAACTGTCTGAACGGCTAGCTGCCTCCAGGGCTAAGAGAGGAAATATGTTTCATTACCTGGGTGAACCAACTATTTAATTATGCTGTAACGAAAAGCTGTTAACTGTTTTTATTCTTCCACTCGTTTTGGCTCTTGACACTCCATTGTTTCATATTGAGTAATGGCTTTCCCTCTACCTCTCTATGTCATCTGTGGCAGCCAATCCAATAACCCCACTAGCATTCACAATGGGACGTCAAAGGCGTGTCATTACTCTGCTATCAGATCAATAGAACTTAATTTTGGCAGGTGGGACCAAATAAAAAAACACAGAGCAAATTCCCTTGGGGCGCTTGCTTGGACAACCTCCATTTTTTATAAAAGGGCCCAGTTTTCTATTTTGGCCATTTGTTCAAATTCCACTGGCAGGGCCCCTCCCAGTTAGATCCAAGGAATCACCAGTCAATTAGTTATAGATTAGTACCACAGGCTATGCAGAGGTGGAAGCTTTTTAAAAAATAATGACTTCATTTGGAAGAACGGGGGGGAATCGAGCTGAGGTTACCTGCATATACCCTCAAGGCATTTGTCTAGATGTAAGGAAAAACGTTAGCTCAGTTATTCATAAGCACAGTGTGTGCAATTGTCACAGTTTACATATAAGAACATTACTCATTTCTGTCCAACAGTCCAGTGTTTTTCATGCTTTTATGTAGATCTTTATACTTACTCTGTAGAAGTGTTGTTCTCCAAACAGGCACACATAATACATTTCAATCAGTCCAAGCCTTGCTCCTCTTTCTCAGTTAATGTACTTCCTTCCTGTCCACAAGATGTATTCATCTATAGCGGTTATTTTCAGTTGACAGCAAGGTTTTCACAATTAGGGTTGACTCCAGTCCTCAGGGGCCAGAATCCACAAGTTGAGACTGACGGATGTACAGATACTGTACCTTAGGGATCGTCTGTGTGTCTTCTCTCCAGACTGCCCAATTAACAACAATGATGAATCAATGTGAGGCAATCGCTGACAGTCTCAGGCTTCTAGAAGAAAAAAAAAAAAAAACATAGCAGGGAACAATTGAGACAGCACCACTTGTGGCAGTTTCTGAGGAATGGAGTCAAACCCTCTCTGTCCAGAGCTGTGAATCCCAGAAGTACATTGGACTTGGTAATCAGGCATGGCATCTGCTCGGAACGAAACAATAAAAACCATTCCACTTTTGTTTTCCCATGTTGGGTGTGGCAAAGAGTGGATGTGCCAAGAACTCTGACGCAACGTCAAGATTATAGTCTTTCTGATTAACATGTACTTTGGATGGAACAGCTCTGGTGAATAAGCAACAAGGTTTTTATTAATCGAAGAACTGGAGGGGTAGTTTCTATACACCTCGGACTAATTCAAGGGGGTTTTACACTGTTCTAGACAATTTTGCAGGCTGCCTCGGGGACTCATTGCTACACAAGTTTTGGTTTCTCATTTCAGTTTTGTAAGTTTTCGAAGTTCGGGCTTATTGAAAAACACAAATCAATAGTCATGGAAAATAATGGAGCAACCCTCCTGATTGCCTCCCTTTGGAGTTGTAGTTGCTCTCAGTGTGAACCTCTGGTAGAGAAACCGTAGACTTGCAATGGCTCCCTGGGAATGGCACTGAGGTCTCTTTGCTCCTGTTTAATTAAATTTTTTTGAAATCCACACAACAAGGTCTGCAGTGGAAACATGGACTTTGTTTTAATGCTGTAAACATTAAAACATTGTACAGATATAGGTTGGCTCCACACTTGCAGGAGTAAACCCAGAAGCATTCCTCTTCCAATCCCCTTACGCCCCTTCCTCCTTCACCATTAACGTGTTAATGGACCATAAGAACCAGTGCTGTGAATATAACTTTTTGTTACTTCTCCAGGCATTTAATATCAGTATAGAAAATGGGAGTCTTGGGACAGATAAAGGGAATTCAACAAAATGTCCCTTGAATTTCATCTCCAACTTTTCCCGGATACATTTATCTCCCTTTACAACAATTGTGCATTCTGCGAAACAGAATAATATATTTATGTTGTAAACATGTAAAATATAATACCTTTTTACATCATATATATTTCGAAGCTGCAGTTTGGTGAAATTTGAAGATAAGTATTTTTGTGCTATAGTGTGACAGGGTGGAACAGTCCTGTTTTCCACTATAGGGCTCAACAGGGCTAGCCAGGGCTTAATTCACAATTCATTACAAGTACTTCTTTCAGAACTTTCTC